ATCTGTAGATTACTTGGGGTGAGTAGACATTCTAACAGTATTAATTCTTCCAGTCCATGGGCATGGAGTATCTTTCCATTTATTTGTGACTTTTTCAATTTATTTCATCAGTGTCTTATAGTTTCCAGTGTATAGGTCTTTCACCTCCTTGGTTAAATATATTCCTAGGCATTTTATTCTTTTGAAGCAATTTTAAGTGAAGCTGTATTTTTAATTTCTCTTTCAGGTAGTTTATTATTAGTGTATAGAAACACAATTGACTTAGGGTATTAATTTTGTATTCTACAACTTTATTGAATTTGTTTATTCTGATAGTTTTTTTGGTGAAGTTTTTAGGGTTTTTCTATATATAGTATCATGTCATCTGCATATAGAGACAGTCTACTTCTTTTCTGATTTGGATGCACTTTATCTATCTTTCATAAATGCTTTAGCTAGGACAGCTAGTACTATTCAATTCAATTCAATTCAATTCAATTATTTGAGAGAGAGAAGGAGAGCACAAATGGGGAAGGAACAGAGGGAGAGGGAGTGAGGGCGGAGCCTGATGCAGGGCTCAACCTCATGACCCTGAGATTATGACCCAAGGCAAAACCAGGAGATGGACAGTCAACCAACTGAGCCACCCAGGTACCCTCTCCCAGTACTATTTTAGATGAAAGTGATGTTGCCTTTTGTCAAATCCTTTTTCTGAATCTATTAAGATGCTTAGATGATTTTTATCCTTAACTTTGTTAATGTTCTATATCATCTTGATTGATGGTGAAACATCCTTGCATCCCAGGAATAAAACCCGCTTCCCAGTCTATGAACCTTTTAGTGTATTGTTTAATTCGATTTGCTAATATTTTGTTGAAGAGTTTTGCATCTACATTCATCAGGAAATTGACCTATAATTTCCTTTTCTTGTAATGCCTTTATTTCGTTTTGATATTTAATACTGGCTTCATAAGATGAGTTTGGAAGTATTTCCATCTCTTCACTTTTTTGGAAGTGTTTGAGAAGGATTGGTATTAATTCTTTAAACATTTGGTAGAATTCACCAGGGGAGCCATCTGGACTTTGTTGGATGTTACTGATTCAGTTTCCTTACTGGTAATTAGTCTTCAGATTTTCTATTAATTCATAATTCAGTTTTTACAGATTGTATGTTTTTAGGAATGTATCCATTTTTTTCTGCATTATCTAGTTTGCTGGCATAGATCATAGTAGTCTTTTATGATTGTTTGTATTTCTGTTGTATTAGTTGTAATGTCTCTTTCATTTCTGATTTTTTTTAGTTTTCTCTCTTTTTTTTTTCCCTGGTGAGTCTAGCTAAATGTTTATTTTTTCGAAACCCAGCTTTTGGTTTCATTGATCTTTTCTATTGTCTTTTTAGTCTCTGCTTCATTTGTTTCTACTCTGATATTTTTTATTTCCTTCCTTCTACTAACTTGGTCTTAATTTGTTCTTTTTCTAGTTCCTGAAGATGTAAAATTAGGTTGTTTATTTGAGGTTTTTCTTATTCCTTTATTGTTGTTGTTTCTTTGTTTTTGTTTTGTTTTTAATTGGTTACACAAAGAAAACTTTATTTGCAGCAAATAAGGAGATCATGGGGAATGGTACAAAGCCTTGACTCAGCGTCTTTTTTATTTCTTTTTTTTTAATTTTTTTTTATTTATTTATGATAGTCATACAGAGAGAGAGAGAGGCAGAGACACAGGCAGAGGGAGAAGCAGGCTCCATGCACCGGGAGCCTGACGTGGGATTCGATCCCCGGTCTCCAGGATCACGCCCTGGGCCAAAGGCAGGCGCCAAACCGCTGCGCCACCCAGGGATCCCGTCTTTTTTATTTCTTAGTGTAGGTTTTATCACTGTGACCTTCCCTTTTAGAACTATTTTTGCTGCATCCCATAAATTCTGGTATGTTATATTCCCATTTTCATTTGTCTCAAGATTTGAGTTCTATTTTTATTTCTTCTTTGACCTGTTGTTTGTTAGCATGTTGTTTAATCTCCATGTATTTGTCAATTTTCCAGTTTTCTTCTTGTAATTGTTCTCTAGTTTCATACCATTGTGATTGGAAAAAAAAATGCTTGATATGATTTTGGTCTTCTTAAATTTTTATTTTTTTGAGAGAGAGACTGTGCACTTGATTCGAGGTGGGGAAGTTACAGAGGGAGAGAATCTAAGCCAGTGCTAAGCATGGAGCCCAACACAGAACTTGATCTCACAACCCTGAGATCGTGACCTGAGCTGAAATAAGAGTCAGATGCTTAACCAACTGAGTCACCCAGGCACACTTCAGTCGTCTTAAATTTATTAAGACTTATTTTGTGGCCTAACATGTGACCTATCCTGGAGATTGTTCCATATGTGCTGGAGAAAAATGTGTATTCTCCTGCTTTTGGATGGAATGTTCTGTAAATATTTGTTAAGTCCATCTGGCTTAACATGTTAAGTCTAATGTTTCTTTATTGATTTTCTGTCTGGATGATCTATCCAATGATGACAATGAAGTATTATTACTATTATTATATTGCTGTGTACTTCTCCCTTTAGGTCAATTAATGTTTGCTTTGTATATTTAGTTGCTTCTAGGTTGAGTATATGTGAATTTACAAATGTTATATAATCTTATTGAATTGACCTCTTTATCATTATATAATGAACTTCTTTGTCTCATTATAAGTTTGTCTTAGTCTTTTTTTTTTCTGATATAAGTATAACTATTTCAGCTTTCCTTTGGTTTCCATTTGCATAAACTATCTTTTCACATTCCTTCCCTTTAGTCTGTGTGTGTCCTTAAAGTTGAAGTGAGTGCCTTATAGGTAGCATATGGTTAGGCCATATATTTAAAAAAAAAAAATCTGTTCAGCCACTTTGTGTCTTTTGATTGGAGAATTTAGTCTATTTACATTTTCTTAAAGATGTCTTTATTTTAGAGAGAAAGCATGATGGAGGGGCAAGGGGAAAAGGGAGAGAGAATCTTAAATGGGCTCCTTAGCAATCAATCTTTTTTAAAAAAAAAAAAGATTTTATTTATTCATGAGACACACACAGAGAGAGGCAGAAATGTAGGCAGAGGGAGAAGCAGGCTCCATGCAGGGAGCCCAATGCAGGACTCAATCCCAGGACCCCAGGATCAAGCCCTGAGACAAAGGCAGATACCCAACTGCTGAGCCACCCAGGCATCCCAATCAATCAATCTTTAAAAAAATAATATACATCTTTTATCTGTGTGTCCATTAGCAAATTATTGTAGTTATAGCTATTTTTACTACTTTGGTCTTTTAACCTTCATACTAGATCTATAAGTGATTAACCTACCACTATTACATTTGATTATTCTGAATTTAACTATATATTTACCTTTACCAGTGAAATATATACTGTCATGTTTTCCTGTTATTAATTAGCCTCCTTTCATTTCAGCTTAAAGAAATTCCTTTAACATTTCTTGTGAGTTCAATATAGTGGTGCTGAACTCCAGCTTTTGCTTGTCTGAATAACTCTTTATCTTTCCTTCACTTTTGAAGGATAGTTTTGCCAGGTAGAGTATTTTTGGTTGACAGATTTTTTTCTTTCAGCTCAGTGAATATATCATGATACTCCTTTCTGACCTACAAGGTTTGTGTTGAAAAAACTTGTAGTGTTTTTTAAAAAAGATTTATTTATTTTAGGAGAGAGAGAGAGAGAGTGTGTGTGTGTGTGTGTGTGTGTGTGTGTGTGTGCATGAGGGAGAGGGGCAAAAGGAAAGGGAGGGAGAATCTCAAGCAGACTCTGTGCTGAGTGTGGAACTGAATGAAGGGTTTGATCTCACAACCTTGAGATCATGACCTGAACTGAAACCAAGAGTCAGATGCTTAATTGAGTGTACCACCCAGATGCCCCTTATTGATAGGCTTATGGGGGTTTCCTTATACATAGCAAGTTGTCTTTCTCTTGCTGTTTCTTACTCTTTCCTTGTCTTTGACTTTTGATAATTATAGTTTATGTTGGTATGGATCTCTTTGGATTCCTCTTCTTTAGAACTTCCTGGATCTGAATGTCTGTTTCCTTCCTCAGGTTGGGGAAGTTGTCAACTATTATTTCTTTAAAAAAATTTTCTGCCCCTTTCTCTCTTTCTTCTCCTTTTGGGACCCCTATAGTGTGTATATCAGGCCTCTTGACGTTGTCCCAATAGTCCCTTAAGCTATCTTTATTCTTTTCCTTTTTTTTTCTTTTTGAACCTCTTATTGGATGAAATCTGCTCTTTTTTAGAGTTTGCTGATTTTTCTTCCATTTCATCTGCTAGAAAAACCTTCTATTGAGTTTTTAGTTCAATTATGGAATTCTTTAGCCCTGTGATTTGTTTGGTACTTTCTTATATTTTCTGTCTCTTTGATGAAATTCTCATTTTGTTCATGCATTGTTCTCCTGACCTCAGCAACCATCTTTATGACCATTATTTTGAACTTTTTGTCAGGTGAATCACTTATCTCTATTTCATTAAGGTATTTTTCTTAGGTTTTATCTTGTTCTTTTGTTTGGAACATGTTCCTCCATTCAGTTTTCTTGGCTTTCTTGGTTTGCATTAGATGAAACAACCACCTTTCTCAGTCTTGAAGGGGTGAACCTTATTATTCAGTCCTGAGCTCCTCATGGTTTTCTTCCAACTTTGTGATTGTCCATGTGTCCTTTTATGTTCTTAATGGTTCCCAGTAGTTGAGGGTGTGCCAGTATTAGTCAGTGTCCCAAAGGGGAGGATTTCAGCACTAAATGCAGACTAATTAGAAGTGAGACCCTTAGGGAACTTTTTCTTTTCCTTTCTTTTAAAAAATTTTTCAGGGCAGCCCCGGTGGCTCAGCGGTTTAGTGTCACCTTCAACCCAGAGTGTGATCCTGGGGACCCGGGATCAAGTCCCACGTCGGGCTCCCTGCATGGAGCCTGCTTCTCCCTCTGCCTGTGTCTCTGCCTCTGTGTGTGTGTGTGTTTTATGAATAAGTAGATTAAAAATCTTAAAAAATTTTTTTTCATTCTGATCTCAGATCAAGTGTAGAAACCCTCATAATTATAAAAGTCTGTAGTAAAACTTTTTAGTAATTGATCAGAACTGATCAGTCTTTCATACACACACATCACCCCCCACCTTATCTCATTCATCCATCAACAAGTTCTCAATTATACACTATCACCTTATAAACGCGTGCATGCACATTCCTAACTCTAGACATAAGCCCTTATTGTTTTAAATTACTTTTACTTCTTAGAATTATAAAGATCATGCATTAGACAGACTGGAAGGCCTCTGATGCTCAGATTAGGATATTTTCATCATTGATCCACTTCCTTTTAAATAATTTAAATATACTTCCTTCAGGGGCAGACTAGGAGATGTTTATTTCTGTCTGCTCCTGATGCACGTCAAACCCTGGGGCGATAGGCCGTTAAGAACTGTTTCTTTGTTTGCTACCATCCTACTGAATAATGAATACAAGCCCCAGTGGCCACTAGTGCCCAGTTATCAAGAGATGTGTCTTTTGGGTGGCAGTCACAAAAACCAAGGTGGCAGACATGTGCGTAAGCTCCTTTCTCAAAAACATTGGCAGTCTGGAGTGGGGCAGAGGGGAGAGCATAGTGATGGTGCTTGTTGGCCTTACTGGTTTCTGGAGAGGATGGCAATTGGTCCCTGGATGGTTGTTAAAATAGAAGCTTGACCCTCAGGCCTCAGCTATTAAGATAATAAGCTAATAGGCAAAAAAGAAAGAAAAAAGATAAACTAATAGGCCTCTTTCACAAAAAGACTACATGTTTCAATCTGCTATTTCTGCAGTGTGCAGTGAAGGGATATCTGGTTAAGAACTGTTTCTCTATTTGTTACAGTGCTATGGTACCCACAAACATAAGCCCCATTATGGGGCTCCCTCTGGGCAGCAGCTACAAAAACTGGGGCATCAGACATGTGGACGAGCTCCTTTCTGGGAGACTGATGGCCTGAGGGAGAACAGGAATATGCACGTACCAGCCTCCAATGTCTGGATAGTATTAAATTAGACACATGCCCCCAAGGCTTTTAAGGTAAGCAAATAGTTTCTTTCATGGAAAGACTGGGTTTGTTTCAGTCTGCTGCCTCTATGCTGGGCCTTGGGGGATAAACCACAGAAACCCTTCATGAACTGTCTATTAGTTCATTATAGACTATGGATCTCATAGGTGCAAATCCCACTGGCTTTCAAAGGTAGATGCTTTGGGAGTCCATTTTTCAGGTGGAAGTCTTCAGAGTTGTGGTACCAGCTGTGGGGTTCATACCTTTCACTCCTCAGAGAGAAGCTCTGAGTTGTGAGTTCCCTGTGCCAGGGTTGAGGTGGATGATGAGATTGTATGTGAGGCTGTCCTACTCACTTCAATGTGAGTTTTTCTCCTTTGCTTGATGTGTAAGAGTTACTCAGCTAGTTTCTGGATGTCTCTCAGAGGGAATTTTTCTGTATATAGCTGAATATTAGAAAAATAATAATCTAATCAAAGTACATTTATGGTACTTACTATCATAGATAACAACATATGTCTTGTTGTTTTGACCTTCAAAGGTGGCTCATTTTCACCTGGATACTGTGCCTTCATATTATATACTTGTCTCTAGCTACTGCTAGGTTGTCAGGGTCTTGCTTCCAAGCAAAAGAAACCAACTGTAGAGGGTTGATCATTAGTTTACAGAATCAGTGAGGAGGCTGGAGAACCAACAGGCTCAGAAAATAAGAGAAGCCAAGAGGGTCTAGGCAACCCAGAACAGCTAGCTGCCCAGAGTCTGGGGCAACCAGCATTTTGGTTTTTAAGTTTCCTCCTGTCAAGAGTTATACCTTGCTTGGGCAGCCCAGGTGGCTCAGTGGCTTAGCGCCGCCTTCAGCCCAGGACATGATCCTGAAGACCCAGGATCGAGTCCCACGTCAGGCTCCCTGCATGGAGCCTGCTTCTCCCTCTGCCTGTGTCTCTGCCTCTCTCTCTCTCTCTCTCTCTCTCTCTCTCTCTCTCTGTCTGTGTCGTCATGAATAAATAAATTAAATCTTTAAAAAAAAAAGAGTTATACATTGCTGAATTCCCAAATTCAGATCCTGGGCAGCCAGAAAAAAGTACATTTACAATTGATTATTATGTAATATGCCATATGTATTTTGTTTAAATAGGATTGAATAGAACATTTTTTTAGAGATTTTATTTATTTATTCATGAGAGACAGAGAGAGGGAGAAGCAGGCTCCATGCAGGAAGCCCTATGCAGGACTCAATCCTGGGACTCCAGAATCACGCCCTGAGCCAAAAGCAGATGCTCAACTGCTGAGCCACCCAGACATCCCAAGAACATTTAAAATGTGCATTTAATAAGGCCATTTTAGCCATAAGGAATTGTTTTGTTATTATTACTTTTATTTTAAAGAGTGCTATTAAGTACTAGAAAACCTGAAAAACATTTCCAGAACTACAACGTTCATCCTGTTGTGGGCATGGCCGTTTTATTAATTCCTTCCTTGCTGTAAGTTAAAATATACAGAGGTATTCCCCCTACCCCCAGCCCCCACTCCAAAACTAAACCAAATTAATTGTGAAATATGGTATGATTCACCTTATTTTCTGGAATTCACCTATAAAAATCAGGTATTGGCTATGGGTGGCAGAGTCATTTTTAGGCATTCCTTGATTATTCCATTCTCCAGTGTCATTTGACTTCCATCTCTAAATTTAGTCTTTAAGTATCCAACATAGAGTTTATCTACATATTTGTTATTTATTGCTTACTGCAAAGGAATGAATGATTATTTTAAGATTTGTAACATTATGGAAACAAAGAACAAAGAATGATCACTCCCCATAATCCTGCCCTCAGAGATAACTACTATTAACAGTTTGGTAGATCTTAATCTAGACTGCCTGGTTTCCATTTCCAGCTTTTCCATTTAGCTGGCTACCCTGAACAAGTTATTGGTCCTCACACTGCCTCAGTTTCCTCATTTCAGAGTAATAGTAATAGTTTACTGGTTCACAAGGCTGAGTGAGGGTTTAATAAGATAAAGCATTCAGCAGAGTTACTGATGTATAATAAGTTTCATAAATGCTAGTTTGCATACATATGTTAGTCAAGATAGACTAGATTATATTGGAATAACAAAAAATCCACCCAAATATCAGTTACTTAACACAACAAAAATTTACTTCTTGCTAATGCTACACATCTTATTGCAGATTGGCAGGGCGTTTTCTCCATGTAGTCACTCAGGGGCCCAGGGTAATGGAGGTCCTATCATGTTGTGGTCACACTCTGCAATGCATGGTGCTTTTAGTCATCACAGCAGCAAAAAGACTATAAATCACACATCGGTTTTTTTTACTGCCTCAGCCCATAATTGATATACTAAACTTCAGCACTTACAATTTGCTAGTCAGAACTGGTAATCATAGCCCTGCCCTGCTACAAGTAAGCTGTAGACATATGGAATGTGAAGTGCAGAATATTTGGTGAATGCTACTACCTCTTTCAAGTCCACCTTTCCTGCTTGTGTTGTAGTTTTTATGTTTTTTTTTTCAATTTAATGTATCATGGACATTTCCCCATATCAGTACATATTAATTCATTCATTGACCATTTATTTATTTTTAAAAAGATTTTATTTATTTATTTGAGAGAGAGAGAGAGAGAGAGAGAGAGAGAGAGAATGAGCAGGCATGAGTAGGGGAGGGGGCAGAGGGAGAAGTAAACTCCCTGCTAAGAAGGGATCCTGATGTAGTGCTTGATCCCAGGATCCTGAGATCATGACCTGAGTTAAAGGCAGGCACCCAACAACTGAGCCACCCAGGCTCCCCTCACTGACCATTTAGTAAGCCTTTCTATGCATCAGGCCTTATTCTAAATACTGGGCTATAACAATGAAGATAACATTTGATAATCCCTGTCTTCATGTAATTTATTGGGTTGCAAACAGGTAAGAAATAAAATATTTTTTTAAAGTATAATGTGTTAGGGCAGCCCCGGTGGCACAGCAGTTTAGCACCGCCTGCAGCCCAGGGCGTGATCCTGGAGACCCTGGATCGAGTCCCACGTCGGGCTCTCTGCATGGTGCCTGCTTCTCCCTCTGCCTGTGTCTCTGCCTCCCTCTCTCTGTGTGTCTCTATGAATAAATAAATAAAGTCTTTTAAAAAAATAAAGTATAATGTGTTAGAAGGTAATAAATGTTATGGTGAGGAAAAAAAGAAACGGAAGAGGCAGAGGGAGTTTTGAGGGCACAGTTTATTTAATTATTTTTAAAAGATTTTATTTATTTATTCATGAGAGACACAGAGAGAGAGAGACAGAGACATAGGCAGAGGGAGAAGGAGGCTCCTTGCAAGGAGCCTGATGTGAGACTCGATCCCAGGATCTGGTGGTCATGACCTGAGTCAAAGGCAGACGTTCAAGTACTGAGCCACCCAGGTGCCCCTTGATGATACAGTTTTATTTTTTATTTATTTTTTTTAACAAGCTTTAATTCACTTTTATTTTTCTTGTATAAAACTATGTGGTAGCCACAGCTGGAGCCTGGGTCCTCTGCATGGAGACTCTGGTGTGGGTCTTTACAAGATGGTCAGTGAATTCCTGATAGGGAGACTTGGTGAACACAGTCTCTTTCCAGAGATCAGGGGTGAGATAGCTGTAGGTCTTGGAGATCGCATCAAAAGTAGCCTTGGCAAAGTTCCCCAGGGTGGCAGTGCAGCCCCTGGCCGAAGTATAGCAGTCGTCAATACCAGCCATCATCAGTAGCTTCTTGGGCACAGGGGCTGAGACAATGCCAGTGCCTCTGGGGGCAGGGATGAGACGCACCAGCACAGAACCACAGCGATCAGTCACCTTGCATGGGACAGTGTGGGGCTTGCCGATCTTGTTCCCCCAGTAGCCTCGTCGCACGGGGACGATGGAAAGCTTGGCCAGGATGATGGCCCCATGGATGGCAGTGGCTACCTCCTTGGAGCACTTGACGCCCAGACCCACGTGTCCGTTGTAATCTCCGATGGCAACAAATGCCTTGAACCTGGTCCGCTGGCCAGCACGGGTCTGCTTTTGCACCGGCATGATTTTCAAAACCTCATCCTTGAGGGACGCCCCCAAGAAGAAGTCAATGATCTCAGATTCCTTGATGGGCAGAGAAAACAGATAGATCTCCTCCAGGGACTTGATCTTCATGTCCTTGACCAGGCGGCCCAACTTGGTGACGGGGATCCACTCCTTGTCCTCCGCCTTGCCTCCGCGAGCTCCGCGGCCCCGGCCCCAGCCTCGACCACGGCCACGCCCATGGCCCCGGATGCCGCTGCCGAAGCCTC